AGATAATCTCCAAAGAGATTGCTTTTTTCGAATTTTTTTGTAAACTAGTTTTTTGTGATAGTCAGTTTGTATAAATTCATGTAATCGAAAATTTAATTTTCTCATTCAAAATTTTTGTGTCGAAAAAAAAAAGTTACCTTTTAACAAATCATTCAACACATCATACAGCACAGCATTCATTATAATAATTTTTTTCATTAGCTAACCAACCCGAAACTTGGTAAGTGGGGTACAACATGCCCACTAATGACCTTAACTATCTCTTTATCTACCGACAAGGCAAACTTTGGATATGAACAGCATACAAAGTTGCAATTCTTGATAATACAAGGTTGTTTTGTTCACACGGAACCTTTATGAGATAAAGGAAAACTGCCAGGAAAATGAAAAATTAGTTAATGCATGTAAAAGTAAATTTTATTTTTCCATATATTAGCCACAGCTTCATGGTGTCGCATGACTATCTAATTCATATGAAGAAGAACGGAAATACAAATATATTATGGAGATTAAAATAATAACATATATAGAAATACAATCGTATAATTTTTTCATATTATCTATATTATATATAATGCTATTATCCTTTGTATGCAAATTGTATCAAATATAAGATTAAGATCAGAAATATATTTAGCTTAATACAATTAAGTAATTTGCGAACAAAAAGATAAATCTCGTCGTCGTTAACATCACAAAAAAAATAGATTTAGTGCAGTGTCTTTCAGCCATGGATGGAGCAGATCGCGCACAAATTTTGTTTCTGTTCTTTTTGCGGTTCATTAGTTATTTGAAAACACATTTATAGAGGAAGATTTAAATCGCAAATTTATTATTCCAATGTACACCACAATTTATATATGTTAAACCCGAGATTTGTGGCACAGTTTTAATGCGATTTTTTTTTGTGCAATATGTGCGGAATTTCCGATGGTTTGTGGTATACAATTTTAACTGCGGTTACAAAGAAACGCGATGAGACTTTATACGATAATACGCACTAAGAGTTTTTAACACACCCATACCCAAATAACATTGCATTCACAAGTAAAAAAATACTAGCGCTTAAAAATATAAGCTATCCTTTTTTTTCTGTAGTAATCAATCATATCTAAACTTTATTAATATTTTTAATGATATCGATATGCATAAACATTAATTTTTTGATGTATATTTGTGTCAAGCTTAATTGAAGATACTAACAAAACAGCCAAGAATACATCACCATTTTCCTCTTGGAATCTTAAATGAATTTCTTCTCACTATTGTTTGATAACTGTCAACCACAAAGTTGGATATTTATGTTCGAACAACGATTTTGAACTTTCCAAATGCTTTTTGTTTTCAAAATATAAATTAGCGGTTATGTCATCCACACATTTCATCTACCAAATAATTTCAAAGTACAAAAACATTCCATCAGTGTTTCGTCCAATCCCTAATAACATTACCGCTGATCTCAAGATGATGTTTTTTATTCATAAAATCAGGTCCTGTTATATATGTGAATAGCCGGTAGTAATTATCCAACGGTTCATATAAGATCATTTGCCATAGGTGTGGTAAAAATTTTTTAATTTTTTGAGAAAAAGAAATTTTAAAATTCGGAGGTGATTTATTTTTAGGAATTTAAGGGATCATTACTAAAATGATTATGACGCAAAACCTATATACTGTGCATGCATTTCGGGAGTTTTAATATTTCCAGATCATAAATTCGGGGAATAATTTATAGTATATGATGTGCGGATATTAAAAAAAAGCGCTTTCGTTTTTTTTTCCATATTTATAAATTATATGATGTCAATATGATGCACATTAGTTAATGATCATCCTTGAATAATATCCAAAATAGAAATGACGTTTAAATCATGAAAATTTTATTCGGTCTTATTATATCTCTACTAATGACTTTCTTCCTCACGGCTGATTCCCATAGCATTTGGATTTCAAGTCATAAAAGGGACCTTACCATGCAAAGACTATGAAAACGTTAATTCAAAGGTCAACAACTAGATTGACGCATAGAGAGGTATTATTCACCTTTTTTTCTCTTGTGGTATTTATACAGTGTATTCAATTGGTTAAATCCGAAATATCATACCTTGTTGAATTCATCTCATACGTTACAATCACATTACTAATTATACTATGCAATTTCCATTTGTAGCCCAGTCCAATAAACGTAATTGACATCATTTTCTAACTATACGACGTGATCTTTATTATTATTTACTTATAAAATATTAACTTTAAAAAAATCACTTTAATCTGTTGAACATTCAAGGGTGCAGACGACTGTGGAAATGGCTACCACTGTGATAAGGTAACCTCCACTTATTATAGGGTATCATTAAAATACCAAATTATTACTAACAATATGCATTGTAACAGGGGGACAAATGTACTTCGGGTGGTGGTTGTATACCTTTGGTAATGGACGTCATTCCTTCTTTCTTACATATTGATTCAATTATCTTTGCTATAACATGTTCTATTTGTTGCACATTAGGATGCGGAAAAATGTCCAAATGGCGGCTACTGTGATAAGGTAATGTGCTTTACTTTCACATCCTATTTTAAAACAATAAGTGTAGCTCATCTTGCTTTATATTTCATCTATCCGTACTGGGCGAAAGATGTGCTTCAGGAGATACTTGTTTGCCTGCGGTAATATGCTTAATGTTCTTACTTACCACGTGAACTTATTATTAACATTTCCATTTGTTGAATGCTCAGGGTTCAGTCGATTGTGGTCATGGTACTCCAGTGATGGCAAATGACTAGGTCATTTGACTAATTTTCAAATGACCCGAAGTCATGCTGAAATGACCGGTCATTC